TGTGGTCAACCCCCCATGAGTGTGTGGTCAACCCCCCATGAGTGTGTGGTCAACCCCCCATGAGTGTGTGGTCAACCCCCCATGAGTGTGTGGTCAACCCCCCATGAGTGTGTGGTCAACCCCCCATGAGTGTGTGGTCAACCCCCCATGAGTGTGTGGTCAACCCCCATGAGTGTGTGGTCAACCCCCCATGAGTGTGTGGTCAACCCCCCATGAGTGTGTGGTCAACCCCCCATGAGTGTGTGGTCAACCCCCCATGAGTGTGTGGTCAACCCCCCATGAGTGTGTGGTCAACCCCCATGAGTGTGTGGTCAACCCCCATGAGTGTGTGGTCAACCCCCATGAGTGTGTGGTCACCCCCCATGAGTGTGTGGTCAACCCCCCATGAGTGTGTGGTCAACCCCCCATGAGTGTGTGGTCAACCCCCCATGAGTGTGTGGTCAACCCCCCATGAGTGTGTGGTCAACCCCCCATGAGTGTGTGGTCAACCCCCCATGAGTGTGTGGTCAACCCCCCATGAGTGTGTGGTCAACCCCCCATGAGTGTGTGGTCAACCCCCCTGAGTGTGTGGTCAACCTCCATGAGTGTGTGGTCAACCTCCATGAGTGTGTGGTCAACCCCCCATGAGTGTGTGGTCAACCCCCCATGAGTGTGTGGTCAACCCCCCATGAGTGTGTGGTCAACCCCCCATGAGTGTGTGGTCAACCCCCCATGAGTGTGTGGTCAACCCCCCATGAGTGTGTGGTCAACCCCCCATGAGTGTGTGGTCAACCCCCCATGAGTGTGTGGTCAACCCCCCATGAGTGTGTGGTCAACCCCCCATGAGTGTGTGGTCAACCCCCCATGAGTGTGTGGTCAACCCCCCATGAGTGTGTGGTCAACCCCCCATGAGTGTGTGGTCAACCCCCCATGAGTGTGTGGTCAACCCCCCATGAGTGTGTGGTCAACCCCCCATGAGTGTGTGGTCAACCCCCCTGAGTGTGTGGTCAACCCCCCTGAGTGTGTGGTCAACCCCCCTGAGTGTGTGGTCAACCCCCCATGAGTGTGTGGTCAACCCCCCATGAGTGTGTGGTCAACCCCCCATGAGTGTGTGGTCAACCCCCCATGAGTGTGTGGTCAACCCCCCATGAGTGTGTGGTCAACCCCCCATGAGTGTGTGGTCAACCCCCCATGAGTGTGTGGTCAACCCCCCATGAGTGTGTGGTCAACCCCCCATGAGTGTGTGGTCAACCCCCCATGAGTGTGTGGTCAACCCCCCATGAGTGTGTGGTCAACCCCCCTGAGTGTGTGGTCAACCCCCCATGAGTGTGTGGTCAACCCCCATGAGTGTGTGGTCAACCCCCATGAGTGTGTGGTCAACCCCCCATGAGTGTGTGGTCAACCCCCATGAGTGTGTGGTCAACCCCCCATGAGTGTGTGGTCAACCCCCCATGAGTGTGTGGTCAACCCCCATGAGTGTGTGGTCAACCTCCCATGAGTGTGTGGTCAACCCCCATGAGTGTGTGGTCAACCCCCCATGAGTGTGTGGTCAACCCCCCATGAGTGTGTGGTCAACCCCCCATGAGTGTGTGGTCAACTCCCCATGAGTGTGTGGTCAACTCCCCATGAGTGTGTGGTCAACCCCCCATGAGTGTGTGGTCAACCCCCCATGAGTGTGTGGTCAACCCCCCATGAGTGTGTGGTCAACCCCCCATGAGTGTGTGGTCAACCCCCCATGAGTGTGTGGTCAACCCCCCTGAGTGTGTGGTCAACCCCCCACGAGTGTGTGGTCAACCCCCCACGAGTGTGTGGTCAACCCCCCTGAGTGTGTGGTCAACCCCCCTGAGTGTGTGGTCAACCCTCCATGAGTGTGTGGTCAACCCCCCATGAGTGTGTGGTCAACCCCCCATGAGTGTGTGGTCAACCCCCATGAGTGTGTGGTCAACCCCCATGAGTGTGTGGTCAACCCCCCATGAGTGTGTGGTCAACCCCCCATGAGTGTGTGGTCAACCCCCCATGAGTGTGTGGTCAACCCCCCATGAGTGTGTGGTCAACCCCCCATGAGTGTGTGGTCAACCCCCCATGAGTGTGTGGTCAACCCCCCATGAGTGTGTGGTCAACCCCCCATGAGTGTGTGGTCAACCCCCCATGAGTGTGTGGTCAACCCCCCATGAGTGTGTGGTCAACCCCCATGAGTGTGTGGTCAACCCCCCATGAGTGTGTGGTCAACCCCCCATGAGTGTGTGGTCAACCCCCCATGAGTGTGTGGTCAACCCCCCATGAGTGTGTGGTCAACCCCCCATGAGTGTGTGGTCAACCCCCCATGAGTGTGTGGTCAACCCCCCATGAGTGTGTGGTCAACCCCCCATGAGTGTGTGGTCAACCCCCCATGAGTGTGTGGTCAACCCCCATGAGTGTGTGGTCAACCCCCCATGAGTGTGTGGTCAACCCCCCATGAGTGTGTGGTCAACCCCCATGAGTGTGTGGTCAACCCCCCATGAGTGTGTGGTCAACCCCCCATGAGTGTGTGGTCAACCCCCCATGAGTGTGTGGTCAACCCCCCATGAGTGTGTGGTCAACCCCCCATGAGTGTGTGGTCAACCCCCCATGAGTGTGTGGTCAACCCCCATGAGTGTGTGGTCAACCCCCCATGAGTGTGTGGTCAACCCCCCATGAGTGTGTGGTCAACCCCCCATGAGTGTGTGGTCAACCCCCCATGAGTGTGTGGTCAACCCCCCATGAGTGTGTGGTCAACCCCCCATGAGTGTGTGGTCAACCCCCCATGAGTGTGTGGTCAACCCCCCATGAGTGTGTGGTCAACCCCCATGAGTGTGTGGTCAACCCCCCATGAGTGTGTGGTCAACCCCCCATGAGTGTGTGGTCAACCCCCCATGAGTGTGTGGTCAACCCCCCATGAGTGTGTGGTCAACCCCCATGAGTGTGTGGTCAACCCCCCATGAGTGTGTGGTCAACCCCCCATGAGTGTGTGGTCAACCCCCCATGAGTGTGTGGTCAACCCCCCATGAGTGTGTGGTCAACCCCCCATGAGTGTGTGGTCAACCCCCCATGAGTGTGTGGTCAACCCCCCATGAGTGTGTGGTCAACCCCCCATGAGTGTGTGGTCAACCCCCCATGAGTGTGTGGTCAACCCCCCATGAGTGTGTGGTCAACCCCCCATGAGTGTGTGGTCAACCCCCCATGAGTGTGTGGTCAACCCCCCATGAGTGTGTGGTCAACCCCCCATGAGTGTGTGGTCAACCCCCCATGAGTGTGTGGTCAACCCCCCATGAGTGTGTGGTCAACCCCCATGAGTGTGTGATCACAAAAGGTGGGGGGAAGCAGGAGCTGCGTGCTGTGCTGTGAGCGGAATGGTGAGCAGAGAGGCTTGGGAAGGAGAAAGGCGAGTGCAAGAACAAGACAGTGGCGTGCATTGAGACGGGCGGGCAGGGTTGAAGGGAACGGTGGGAAGGGTGGCAAGGGCGGGAAGGGTGGGAAGGAAGGGGTGGGAAGGGCGGGAAGGGTGGGAAGGAAGGGGTGGCAAGGGCGGGAAGGGTGGGAAGGAAGGGGTGGCAAGGGCGGGACGGGTGGGAAGGGTGTTATGGGCCATGGGTGGATAGGAGGGTCGGGAAGGGAAGCAACGGACCATGACGAGGAGGCGGGAGAGCAGCAGGTCGGGGCTGCGCAGCAGCACGAGGCAGCAGCGGTACGTCAGTGTCACTGTCTCACTCACGGCGCTCGTGGCATACTCCCACTCGCCCACCGCCCTCCCCTCCCCCGCCCTCTCCCCTCCATCGCCCTCTGCCCCACTCCCGCCCGCCTCACTGCGCCCACTGCCCTGGCCCCCGCCCCCAACCCCCAACCACCGCTTTCCCCCTTCCAGCAGCTTGCGTAGGTGGCGCTTCAGGGTAGCCCCCACGCAGGGCGCGGCAGGGGGCGCGCCTGTGCCGCCCTCTGACTGCTGAAGAGGGGGAACGGCGAAGGGAGACGGTGCAGGGAAACGAAAGGGCGTGAGGCGGTGGGCGGCAGAAAAACATAACAAGCTTAGGAGAGATGGAAGGGAAGAAGCTACACTTGCTCAAGAGGGATTCACTAATCAACAAGAAGAGGTTGGGTAAAGGTACAGGCCTAGACAAGATAACCTCGTGGACAATGGGGGTTGAGGGCCAACCGCCCATGTGGGGTAGTGCGGGCAAGACACGCACAGATGGCTCCCCCACACAGATGGCTCCCCCACACAGATGGCTCCCCCACACAGATGGCTCCCCCACACAGATGGCTCCCCCACGCAGATGGCTCCCCCACGCAGATGGCTCCCCCACACAGATGGCTCCCCCACACAGATGGCTCCCCCACACAGATGGCTCCCCCACACAGAGCAGCAGCGGTGCTCACCTTGCCATGAGCAGCAGCGGTGCTCACCTTGCCATGAGCAGCAGCAGCAGCAGCAGCAGCGAGGCGGGGCAGAGTGTCGAGGGCGAACTCCAGCAGGTTCACCTGTCAGCGGGCAACAAGGGGTGCAGCACTCATGTCATTGCACAGGTGCTGCGAGGGACAGGGACGCGCGAGTGCCTCCTCTGAAACTCCGAGCAGTGTGCCTCCGAGGGCAACAGTTGGTGCAACAGGGCGGGTAACTCTCCCACGGAGCAAGCAGCCACAATCCAGGCCTTCAGTCAGTTTACATTCAAGGGGAATGGGGTGGAGTGCACTTCCATGCGGCAGGGGAATGGGGTGGAGTGCACTTCCATGCGGCAGGGCAGGGTTCACAGGTTCCCCTCAGGACTCGCATGGGCGTGCACGGGGTGGTGCACCACATCAAAGGGCCATGGGGCGTTGGGCTCACATGGGGGGTGGTGCAGTGCTGCGAGGTGGCAGCGCAGGGCGGGCGTGGCGCCGTGGAAGGCAACGGAGCTGCTCACGAGCAGAGCAGCGCCAGGCAGTGCAGTAGAATTCTGAGGCGCCTCAACAAACTTAAATGGACGGGCACGGCTGTCAGACTCACATGAAGGGGCTTTTGAGGCGCCTCACAAGACGGCTGTGAGACTCACATGCGGCGGCACGGGGTGGTGCAGGGCGGCGAGGTGGCAGCGCAGGGCGGGTGTGGCGCCGTGGAAGGCGACCTGGCCGCTGACGAGGAGAGCCATGCGGTGCAGCAGCGCTGTGATGCGGAACGACGGCTGGTGGATGGTCAGCACCACTGTTCGCCCGCCCTGTGAGTGGTAGGGGGGTTGGGGGGTTGAGGAGGAGAAATGGAAGGTTTGGGGGGCAGGGATTGGTGGATGGTGAGCAGCAGTGTGTGGCGGGCGGTGCAGGCGCAATGAGGAGCGCCGTGATGCACAAGGACGGCTGGTGGATGGTCACCACCACTGAGGGCAAGGCGTGGCAGGGGATTGAGTCGCTTCGGGGGGCGCGGATTGGTGGATGGTGAGCAGCAGTGTGTGGCGCGCTGCTGCAGCCAGGAGCAGCTCCACGTGCGCCTTCTGGCCTTGGCTCTGTGTGTGGGCGACGAGGGATGGGGTGGCTACAAAGACACAGTGTGCGACGGGATGACGTGCTTAGAGGAGGAGAGAGCGATGGGGGGATGCCAGCAATGTGTGCTTTGAGAGGTGAGGGTTTAGGTCCATATCAAAACAATGGAGGCAGTTTCCCCTTGCATTGCACCCCATATCATCGGTGCAGCATGCCACTGAGCTAGAGATCTGTGGCCTTCCTCGTGCCCCGCATGCTGCTTTCCTTCTGCAGCACCTGAGTAAACACCTGGGAAAGCACCTTACAAAGCACCTGAAGCACACCTGAGCACCAGGGCACACCTGAACCGCCATGTTGTGCAGCAGCTGCACCACCTTGAGCGCCGACGAGCTGTCCAGCCCTGCCAGTGCGGTTAGGCGTGGTGAGGCGCGGTGAGGAGCAGTGGGGGTCGTTAAGGGGCGTTTAGGGGCGAGGCACATAGCAGAAGGAGCAAGGAGCGAGCAGGTGTGGGTGGCGGAATGGGTGGTGCTGGCAGCAAGCACACAGTAGAGGCAGCAACGAAGAGGAGGGCAGAGGAGGGCAGAGAAGGCGGAAGGGAGTGGACCTGAGGTGGGTTCATCGAGCAGCAGCACGGCCGGGTTGTGGATGAGCTCCACCCCGATGGAGGTGCGCCGCCTCTCCCCCCCTGACACCCCCCGGTGCTGCCATGCGCACACGGCAAGGGGCACGGGCAGTGGGAAGGGGATGAAGTGTGGGAGGAGGTGTGGGAGGAGGTGTGGGACAGGAGACGTGTTAGGAGAGCAGAGCGAGGGATGGAGTGCGTGTGCAGGCACGCGGTCGAACCCGTCACAAGGCGAGCACCCCCCTGATCGTCCCACTCACCCACTCGGCCCACTCACCCACTCGCCCCACCCACCCACTCGCCCCACCCACCCACTCGCCCCACCCACCCACTCGCCCCACCCACTCGCCCCACCCACCAGCTCGTCCCCCACGGGCGTGTCGGCGCACGCGGTGAGCCCCAGCTGCTGCAGCACCTGCTGCACGCGCCTCTCCCTTTCAACCGGCGTCACAGTGGCCGGCAGGCGCAGGCGGGCGGCAAAGTCGAGCGTCTCGCGCACGGAGAGCAGCGCGAAGAGAGCATCGTCCTGGTGGGCGTGGGGGGAAGGGGGGAGGGCGTGGGGGAAGAGGGGAGGGCGTGGGGGAAGGGGGGAGGGCGTGGGGGAAGGGGGGAGGGCGTGGGGGAAGGGGGGAGGGCGGGGGAAGGGGGGAGGGCGTGAGGGGAAGGGGGGAGGGCATCATTCAATTAGCGCAGGGATGGTTGCTAAGAGGCAGGGAGCACACAGCACAGGCAGGGGATGCATCACAACCACCCTCCTACAGTCCACCTACCTGCACCACACCACTCCCACCTGCAGCACACCACTCCCACCTGCAGCACACCACACGCATCTGCAGCACACCACACGCATCTGCAGCACACCACACGCATCTGCAGCACACCACACGCATCTGCAGCACACCACACGCATCTGCAGCACACCACACGCATCTGCAGCACACCACACGCATCTGCAGCACACCACACGCATCTGCAGCACACCACACGCATCTGCAGCACACCACACGCATCTGCAGCACACCACACGCATCTGCAGCACACCACACGCATCTGCAGCACACCACACGCACCTGCAGCACACCACACGCACCTGCAGCACGTAGGCGGAGTGCTTGCGGAAGCTGGGCGGCATGGGGCGGCCGTTCACCAGAATCGAGCCCGACAGGCTGCCCGGGTCGATGCGGCAGCCAATGGCGTCCAGCAGAGACGTTTTTCCGCTGCCCGAGGGCCCGGCCAGCGCGAGCAGCTGCCCGGGATGAGCCGCCACGCTCACTCGGCTCAGAATGGTGCGCCCGTTGGCGGCCTGAGGGGGGGGGAGGGGGGAGGGAGAGATGGGGGATGGGGAGGGGAGATGGGAGGAAGATAGAGGCGCGGGTGGTGGAATGAGAGTGGAGCAGTGCACATGGATTCAGGTGCATTCACACCCAACACACACATCTCAATTCCCCGCATACCCCTCAACCGCCCACGCACACCCTCACGCCCCCACCCCACGGCGCACTGACGGTGTAGCAGAGGTTGTTGGTGCGCACGTGGATCTGCTGCACCACCCGCCCCTCACCGCCAACCTCCCCCCCGCCACCGCCATCCCACCACGCAGCACCGTCGCCTGCAGCACCCCCGTAATGCTCTGCAGCAGCAGCAGCAACACCACCACCACCACCACCGGGGCAGGAGGCGGCGGGCATGATGATGGGCGACCCGAACGGCCGCTGGATGGCGCTCACGCTCATGCCGCTGCATATCTCCGCGCTGACGTCACTGCTGGTATCAGCAGCCAGCTCGATCCATGGCTGCGCGGGAGAGGCAGGCGAGACAGGCGGGGCGGAGGACGCGGAAGAGACAGAGGACACGGCGGAGGCGGAGGGGATGGTGGAGGCGGAGGGCGCATGGTGGTCGTGGGCGTGGCGGTGGCGCATGACTGCGGCGCACGCCGCCACGTACTCCTCGCACATGCGCGCGCCCTCTCCTCCCCGCGCTGCGCGGCTCCCCGCGTTCTCCACATCCGCGCTGCCGTCCTCGCTATGCACATCCTCGTGAAGAGACCACTTCGAGCCGGGGGATGCGACAGGAGACGACGCGTCCACGCCGCACGGGAAGGGGTCGTCGGCGGTGGGCGCGGCGGGATTGGCGGGGACGACGAGCGGGGCGAGCGAGGGGGTGGGCGACGCGAACGACGCGAAGCACGCGAGGTGCCGCGCGACGGGGTAGCGGTGCCGCGCAGCCATCGCCGCGAAGGCAGCGGCGCTTGCGAGAGGGCAAGCAGCGTGTAACAAGTAGGATCCGACTCTGGGCGTCTGACGACTGTGATCGGACACTTGGGCTTCTATTGTTCGCTGGCGCACACCCACAAGGGTGGGACGAAAAAAGTGGTGGGGACTCGAAACCCGTGAGGACTATGTGGGTCCGGCCGCGCTGCCCCAAGGCCTTGATCTGCCTCGCGGCGGTACCACCACGACAACTGCACGAGACACGCGCAGCACAAGCTGCGGACACAAGGCGGACAAGCGTGCTTCTCTATTTCCGATGCGTTCAACGAGCAGACTCATCCCGCGCCATCCGTACCTCGCGCCCTCCGCATCCCCCCGCCGCTCTTCACGGTCGCTCCGCCCATCCTCCGCGCGCTCGCCAACGCTGACCCACCCCTTTGGGAGCAGTGGGATCGACGGAGGGCGCGACGATCAGCCAGCGGCTCGACGCGACGGTCGCAGTCGAAAACGGAACGGCGGGGCATTGTGGAACGCAACGGCACGGGAGAGAGGGCACTGCCCGTCGTATGGCGGGAGGCGAGCGAGGGAGACGTGGGGTCGGGCGTGCTGCGGTGGTACTCTGGCGCAGCACGCGACGGTGATTGACGGGTAAGTCCGCCTCGATTGTGACAATGAGTGATGATTGAGACTGGCGAGGGATGAATGGTGATCGGATGTGTCGCCTTGACAGGCTGCGCTCAAATCAGTACAGCTCCGCTAAAAGCAAATCAGAGGTGTCGTCAGTTTCTATAATCTGAAAGCAGCTTCTAGTAAAAGATGATAAACATCTATACTTCTGGTTGCTTATATTGTGATATATACATCAAATGAAACAAAACATTATTGAATTACTATTATCTGGATGCATGAATGGGGACGAAGCAAGGATTCTTGTCAATACGGATGGTTCCTTGTTGATGAAACTTGGGTTACGACACGCAACGTCATCGTTGTAGGACTGTCTTTTCCCATTCGCTTGGGTGACAGTCGTGTCATTTCAAGTTGTTACGAGTGGTAATGTTTGAGACATTACTGTGCACTCCTAACCGGAGCTAAGGAAGCATGCAGTATCAAGAATGAATACGAGGAGTCAGAACTGACTCGAAGCGTCAGAACGGTTGGGACGGATCCGGAGCGTCGGATCAGACGACATCGGGCAGCTGCTGTCAGAACTAGCTGTAGAAAGTAAGAATGAAGAAAGGAGGGTTTGCACTAGCAGCAGTTGGCATACATATAGGAAACCCTAATTGGGTTGTACTCGCTATAGAGTACCCCACTGCAGGCTAGAGCATAATATTCTGACACACCCCCATAGCCAAAGTGGGGTGTAATCAGCAGAGAAAGCAAAGCAGTACAAGCTCAGGGTGGATCACAATGTCACCACACATTCTGAGCACAAGTTTAAGAAGCAATAGTTTAAAGTGCACAATTATGAGCAAAGCTAGAGGCAGTTACAGAGGGCAAGTGAGGAGGAGGAGGGCTGGCGAGAGGAGAGAAGAGTGGAGGCGACGACTGAAGCTGCAGACACACGGGCAACAGACGGCTCTGGTGCAACTCTAGTGGCTACCGGGAGCAAGGGCCCCGGAATACAGGAGTAACAGGCTCTGCGTCTGATCAGCAGCGACAGGAGCAACGGACCCACGGGCGACAGGTGCAACCGGCTCTCTGAGCTACCGGTGGCTATCAGAACCCCGGAATACAGGCGCTGCAGACGACACGACGGCTGCCTCCACCCAACCTCCTCCAACTGTCCCACACCCCCCAACACACACCCCCTGCTGAAACCCTAGCTCCACTCCCATGGCACCCCCCTTAAACCCTAAACCCCCAGCTCCCACACACCCACCCCCCTGAGCAGCAGCTGCAGCAGTGGGAGACGGAGGAGGAGGAGGAGCAGGGGACGGCTGACAGAGACGGCACCCCCATACGCTCCACCCCCAAACCCTAATTCAGGAGTACGGGCAGCAGCAGGGGTGGGGCGCCGTCAGAAGCGCGAGGGACGGCGTGCAGCTCAGTGGGAGAGGAGACCGGGCGCCCGCGGGCCAGGCGCAGCCCGTACGAACCGCGCGCAGGCGGCCCGAGGCGCGCGCGGGCCAGGCGCAGCCCGTACGGGCCGCGCGCGGGCCTGGCGCAGGCCGTACGGGCTGCGCGCGGGCCTGGCGCAGCCCGTACGAGCAGCGCGCGGGTTGTACGGGCCGCGCGCGGGCCTGGCGCAGCCCGTACGGGCCGCGCGCGTGCAGGACAGGCCGCGCGCGGGCCTGGCGCAGCCTGTACGGGCCGCGCTCGTGCAGTACGGGCCGCGCACGGGCGACGGGGGCGACGCGCGGGTCCCCGGGGGCGCTTCGGCGGGCGACGGGGGGAGAAAACCGCCGCGCGCCTCGGGGCGCACGGCGGGCAGAGAACCGCCGCGCGCCTCGGGGCGCACGGCGGGCAGAAAACCGCCGCACACCTCGGGGCGCACGGCGGGATGAAAAATCCGTCGCACGCCACGAGGCGTGCGACACACAGAGTAGCAGTAGCAGTAGCAGTAGCAGCGGAAGGCTTAGGTGGTGGGCCCACCCACAGGATCGACCCAGGAGGGTCGACCTGCTCTGATAGCATGTCAGAACTAGCTGTAGAAAGTAAGAATGAAGAAAGGAGGGTTTGCACTAGCAGCAGTTGGCATACATATAGGAAACCCTAATTGGGTTGTACTCGCTATAGAGTACCCCACTGCAGGCTAGAGCATAATATTCTGACAGCTGCAGGCAAGAGGAATTGGCGGGAACAGTTTTCGTAACTGTACGCGCCGCACGGTTGGGAATGAATTTGAATAAGGGAATGTACCCCTTAGAGTACATGGCTAGCTAGGTCGATTCGAATTCCCTGTACTCTTATTTATATCGCTGTATTTGCATGTTCTAATCAATCTCAAGCATTTTACATTCACTCTGCTATTGAGATCAAGGGCCCACCAACACTATCTAACTGCGTGCGAACCTTCCCGAGTAGATCCTGGGAGCGATCCCCTTCTGATCGTAGCATGGTATGAGAGCGGCTCGGGAATCCTTCGCACTGCCACTCCCGAAAATTGCGACATTCGGAAAGTGGCGTCCGGCACACGCTCGCGTGTGAGAATGGCCGGAGGATCTGGTGGTCAGACTAATCTGACGGCTGAAGCGCAAACTAGCTCGGCTGCGACAAGCGAGGGAACGACAACGATCGGTACCGAAGTCCTCGCACAACTCCTTCAGCGACTCACCAGCTTGGAGCAAGGGCTCCAAACATTGCGGAACGATGATGCGGGAACATCCTCGCAACCTTCTCAACCGGCCCCAACTGGCCAGAACGCCGCCCCGCACACTTTCTCCCTCGACACAAATGGTTCAACCCCCAAGGCTCCCCGTCCCAGTGAAGAGGCAATTCTCTCCGCGCAATCAAGGTTTCTCAGCATATCAAAAATAAAGACAAGTACCTGCTTCGACGGCAGAGATTTCTATACCTGGAGCTTCGAATTGGAGCTCCTGCTGCAGAACGCCCAAATCTTCCATTATTTCGACGGGAGCTACGCGGAACCCGCTGAGGACACCGACGACGCCAGAACTCGCTATTACAACGAGTCATTGATGGCGTACGGAGTCCTCCTGCGCAACATGTCGCCGGCGGAGCAGTTAAGCATCCGTTCGTACAAGACATCGGCTGCTCCGGCCCTCGACGCTTGGCGCCACCTGAACGGTGTGTATCAGCCGAAGGACTCAGTCTCTTCGAGCCGGCTACTCCAGCAGTTACTGGAGACCAAAATGACCTCAGGGGAGAAGGTCAACAGCTACATCAATCGCTGTCGGAGCCTTCGCGACCAAATCACGAAGTTGGGAAGCAGGGCTGACGTTTCAGTTTTTAGGCTCCCTGACGGGGATTTTTTTTTTTTTTTTTTTCCAGTTTAGTCTGAAGGCACTTCGGCCAAAAAATCGCCACTCTGATTGCTCAGTCTCCAAAAAATGCATTCTTTGTTCACTCAGGGTTGATAAGTTTGGTTCAGAGTCATGGGGTCAGGATCATACTCACTGTTGCAAAATGTCAAAAATGTTGGCATCACACAGCTTTCCAATCGTGCGCAAGCCACTGCCAGTGCACAAGCTACAGTTCAGACTGTCAAGGCTTGCGCCGACTGTTGCAGCTAATGTGTGATGTTGGCAGATGCAAGTGGCGCGAGGTGGCGCGAACTTGCAAGTGCCACGTGGGCGAGCTGCCACGCGTGAGCTGGCAGCAGGCATGGTTGGTGCTGGAGAATTCCGCAAGGCAGCATATTTTCTCAGCCTACGAAGCATACACTCTTTGTGCGCCAATGAAAACTACCTGTACATCTACTCTTTCTCGAAGCACCGAACAGTGTGTTACTCTACATCTAGCGACATATCTCTCCTACAGATTCGCTTTTCAGTTCACAAACTCGTTGAGCGATTGGCTAATAGTATATTTCTGGCTCAGATCTTGTTTACGCTTCGCCTGATTCGTGCGTGATGTACCCGACGAATGAGTGTACTCGGGTGTCATGGAGGCGCAACGCGTATTCCTCACCACTTCTCCTACCGCTGCCCCTTCGGAGGTGGGTGTAACGAGACGAAATTTCGAGGAAACTTCGTTCCGATAGACTCGCATTCAGGGCCCACGAAACTAATACTCTGTAGTAACAGGCTCCTTAGAAACGACACTCTGAAGTACATTACATGAAATCAGGGCCCCTAAAACAATAACTCTGAAGCACTTAGGGACAAGAAATCAACTAGTCTGAAAAATCATTTTCCAGTGCCTAGACACTCTGATTCGTCAGACTAATCAGACTATTTAGTCTGATAGCGTCAGCCCTGTTGGGAAGCCCTGTCGGAGGAAATCTTCGTGAACATCGTGCTTCAAGGGCTCGGCCCAGAGTGGCGGCCCTGCAAGGCGCTTCTCCGACAGCAGGGGGTCATCTCGGAGGCCGCCCTTTGCGCCGCCCTTCT